AACTTAGGACGTGTGTGTGAATCCTGAGTTGTGATGATGCCCATCGAGGACCGGACTGCAATCTGCCATTCCTTTTTGTCTGAGTTGTAACGGAATGGCAAAAAGGGGATTGTGGGAGAGAGGGTGCGTGCGTACAGTGTAGCTGCCACTGTCAGATCCTGTGGGGTGTTGTCTGCGATTCTGTTGAGGGAATGAGTCTCTGCTCCCAGCTCAAGATTTTGCTCTTGCAGAAAATTTGTTTGCCTCTCCAGAATGGCAATTTGTCTCCGTTTTTCCTTCTTGAGGTTCCTCTTCTGCCTGAGCAAGTTGTTTGCTAGGGAGATCATTTTCATTTCCTYTGTTTCYTGCTCCTTGGTGTTGATGGATTTTGGGGGTTCCTCATCGCTTGTGCCCACTATGTTTRTGTCCTCACRCAGATAAGAATCGGGCCACTCGTTGATTTGCTYTTTTGCTTGAGGGGYTGTGTGTGAGGTGCTTGTGCTGCTGTCAGTTTCCATTGCATCATTGTGTTGATCAGCGTATTGCAGGGCCAGAAATTCCGAAAAGGTGTTCTCTGCTGGCAGCGCTTCATAGCAGTTTGTGGTGGTTGGGAATCCACCTGCGGCATTAGTGCTCGACTCTTTCTTCAGAATGCTGATGTGTCTGGCATGTGCCAGTCTGATTTCCAAGTCCAGCTCTCTGCATGCCTTCAACGAGTCTATGTATTCGTCCAGCCACTCAAGGGTGCTGTCTGAATCCTCCTCTAGCAATGTATCCTGGCTGTTTGCTGCTGATTTCGTTAGTGGTGTTATGTCCAGATGCATTTCGCTCTCCCTGATCTCCTTTGTGTTGCTGCTGTCCCTGCTTTTCTTGCCTATTTCTTTGGGATCATCGTCTTCATTCCTGCTCTTTCTTTTCGCTGGTCCCGATTCCTTCTTCTTGCCGTTGTCTGCGCTGGATGGTTCCAATTCGTTTCTGGACTGCAAGATTTCGAGGTATGATTTTTCTGCCTCCCGTCCTATGTTGTGAACATCGTTGATGATCTGATTTTTGTGCATTGACTGTTCCAGAGAATCGGCATTGCCCAAGGCGCCGTTTTCGTATTTGTGTGTGGATCTGTCGTTCCTTCTGCCTCCCCCCTTTTGCCATCTACTTCCGTGCGAGGGAAAGACATCTAGTTTGCATGCAGGTTCTGGGTCTGTTAGAGTCCATATCCATGCTGGGTTGTCCTTGAGATCATCAAATATCCAGCCCGCATAGGCTGGGTCGTTGATGATTCAAATGCCCTTCATTGACTCTGCTTCGACCATCATTGAGGGGTGAAGTCTTCTGCCTTCACCTTTTCTCACGTTCAGAGGGCAAAGTGGATCATTCCCCATGTGTCCTTTGATCCTGCATCTGAAGCACATGGGGTTCGCCTCTGTGGAGATGTACACTGACGTGACCTTTTGATCTGCTCTAAAATACCATTTGTCGGGTAATTCAGGTGTGTTGTTCCCTTTCAGTTCAATGCATGCGATTCTTGAGTTGGTGCTGGGGGCAAGGAAACCTGGGGCTGAAGAGACCCATTCCACCAGTGGGTACTGAGGATAGGTTTCTTTCAACCTGTCCTCTACCATCTAGTGAACTTCGTCAGTTAGATTGTCAAACTGAATCCAGAAGTGTTTGTACATCAAAGTTTGCCTGTGCCTGGAGGTGCCTTGAGTTGTTGCCCTGTTGGATCTCCATTTTGAGATGGAGACTACAGATCCTTCGCAGTAGAGGGCCTGCACTGAGAGGAGGTAGGCTGCGTATTCTGTTTCAGCACACAGCACTGCGACAACGTTTTTCCCTCTCTGCTGTAAGGCAACTTTGGGGACTGTGTCTCGCAGGTTCTCCATGTTCTGAAGAGCGTCGCGGACCCTTTTCCGTTTCTCCGTAGGTGGCAGATGCTTCAACTTTGTTGGGAAGGAGCAGACGACTGCGTGCTTATCGTAGAATTCGTCTAATATGGGCAGGTGTTCTTTTGGGTAAACCCAGACTTCGACTTCTGCTTCTTCATCTTTGTTGATTTTCACCACTTCCTTTGTGATTACTGGTTTGACGCGTGTTTCTTTTATCATGAGGTTGAGTACCTCTTGACTTGGGTCTTGATCATYTGTATTGCGTGTTCTTTTGGAGCTTGCGGTTGCTCCCGTCGATGTTCCAAGGGCTGTGACCGGGACTGAGGCAGTGCCTGATGTCAAGTCTGTGTTTGATGCTGAAGACGTTGGTGTGGGTTGAGCGGTCGACATGATGAATGTGGGGTTGTGCGAGAGGTGATAGATTTTGGCCTCTCTGTTGGGAGTGATTAAGAACAGGTCTTGTAAGAGTTTGGCAAAGCTTTGCCTCCCCACTTGGGGAGCGTGGGATTTTGAGAATGAGCAATAAGAAAGGGTAGAGCTTCGCCTCCCCACTTGGGGAGCGTGGGATCAGAGAATGAGCCGTGTAAAAAAGACACGGAGCTTTGCCTCCCCTCTTGGGGAGYGCAGAATCAGAATTTGAGCAGTGGAAAACAAACAGAGCTTCGCCTCCCCGTTTGGGGATCGTGGTAACAGTTTCTGTGCAGTAGGAAAGAGAGCTCCGCCTCCCCGCCTGGGGAGCGTGGGGTCAGAAACTGAGTAGTGGAGAAATTCGCAGAGCTTCGCCTCCCCACTTGGGGAGCGTGGGATCAAGTACTGAGCAAAAAACACGCGCAGAGCTCCGCCTCCCCACTTGGGGAGCGTGGATTCCAAAAAACTGAGCAGTGAAAAAGGACGCAGAGCTTCGCCTCCCCTCCTGGGGAGCGTGGATTCAGAAAATGAGCTGTAAGAAAATCACAGAGCTTCGCCTCCCCACTTGGGGTAAAATCGTGGCTTGTTAACGGGCACGACTTTAAGAAGTACTGGTGGTTTAAAACTCACCAAAACAATTTTTGAGGGTTGGCCTTAATGTTGGGAAGGGTCCTGGCCGGCCCACTTTTTTTTTTTGTTTTGGATTTGGCCTCGATCTGGACCTTGCAGACCAGACATCCAGATGCAAGTCTGGATCCAGACAATCTGGATGGCGGTCTGGATTTTGGGATAGTAGCCATGGCTTAGAGTTTTGCATTTTGGGTTTGGGTTTCGGGTTTTGGGTTTCAGGTTTTGGGTTTTGGGTTTTGGGTTTTGGGTTTTGGGTTTTGGGTTTCGGGTTTCGGGTTTCGGGTTTCGGGTTTGGGTTTTTGAGTTTGGGGTTTTGAGTTTGGGGGTTTGGGTTTATGGTATGGTCACTGCTGCCAATAATAATGCTTTAAGCCTTTAACTTCTAAGTGGGACATTTTCAAGGGAGGGGAGGAGAGGGGAGGGCAAGAGAGAGGAGGGGAAGGAGG